ACCACGTTGCCCACTTCCGCCCAGCGCCTCCCCAGCTAACCAGCCAAAGCCCCATCTTGTGTGGTCGTTACTGAAGCTTGCCAATCACCAAGAGCTTCTGCTTTGTCTTCAAAGGCGCCAGTGCCCACTTGGGTCCCCTGGTCCAGCTTCTGGAAATTCAAATGGACTCTGGCTAAATTTTATCACAAGACGGACTTTACACTCTGCCTCCTTGGTGCTCTGTGTAGGCCAAGTGGGTTACCAGGGCAGTGGGAGGAGTAACCCATGATGGGTTATCAGGGTAGTGGGAGGAGAAAGTAAGCTGAAAGGCCAGTGGACACGGAGCCTCGAGCTGGGGTCCAGGTACAGGGCCTGGCTCTGGGGAGCAGCATGGAAAGGTGCAGAGCTTTGTCCAAGAAGTCACAGACTCTAAGATGGTAAAATAATTAGAGCTAACACTCAGCACCAACCATGTGCCAGGCATCCTTCCAAACTGTTAATCTATGTGCATGAACTCAGGGAATTCTCAAAGTGACCCAGTGAGGTCAAGGCTGCTCTGCACCCCACTGTACAGATGCAGAAACAAAATCACAGTGGGGGTGTCTCTTTGCTGCAACTATGTGAAAATGAAAACCATTCTCAGCAATTAGTCAACATTCCAGAAAATATGGGCATCACTGTGAAGGGACACACAGGTGTCATGAAGGGCCCCTGAGGACCCTGCAGAGGGACTTCAACCACATCAGTGTAGACTCAGTCTCCTTGGAAAGATAAAGAAGAGGCTCTGGGTGGACAAATGGTAGGGAAATAGGAAGAAGCTGGCTATGGTTTGCACTGTCTGTTGTCACATATAGGATATAACAGAGGATGTTACCCTGGCTTCTGTTACAAGATAAGGTCTGTGTGCTCACTTCCCCCATCACCACTGGCATGCAGGATGACGGGTCTCTTGCTGAAATCTGAAATTTCTTGGGTGAGAAATATATCAGCAGCATTTGAATGTATTCGAACCAGGCATTGCTTGTTCGGTGTCTCAAGCCCAGAAAGATGAATTAATTCTTAAAGGAAAAGACATTGAACTTGTATCAAATTTAGGTTGTTACTTTGATTCTGCAAGCCACACCAGTTAAAAGGGTACCGGGCCACTTTTGGATGGTCTCTAAGTCTCTGAAAAAAGAACAGCTCAGCAGACTGATGGAGATCTAAGTCATCTGGCTACAGAAATAACTAGGTGGCAGATCATTCTTAAGACCTATTTCTATTCTTTTAAAGATGAAATAAAGGCCCTCTACGGAAGGATAAAAAGGACAGGGAGGTTAAACTACTTGTCCTAGGTAAGGATAAGCAGTGAGGGCATGGCAGGGCCAGATCTACCCCCAGCAGGCAGACTCCCAAACTGGCAGCCTTATCGACCCTGCAACCTCTCTCCCGGCTGCTGGCCTTTGGGTGGCAAATCAGTTAGCTGGCCCCTTGGTGGGGAAGACAGAAGAGTCTGGCTAGGGTCAGTCATGGCTCCAGAGAATCTGACAATGTAGAGCAGGGTTCAGCCGGCCACTGGGAGAGAGTTCCGACCCCAAAAGGGGCCTGGCTAGAGCTGGGTGGGGAACAGGGCAGGCTGCAGTCCCAGCAAAGGGCACCTGGACCTCCTTGGCTCTGAGCCCTTGCCTTGTTTCTGAGCTGGGGCGCCGATGGGCTGACGGAAAATCACAAGTCCTGTGACACCAGTGCTGTGATGTGGACACCCAGAACCTGCCCCGGGGCTCCCGATCCTGTCTCATAGCAGCCAACACAGCAACATAGGAACCTAGTTGGCCCCTGGCTTCTGTGGAGGAGGGTGACTTGATGACAAGAACTCAGGGGTTGGTGGAGATCAAGGGAAAAAGGCAAACCTGCTGGTAAGAGCAGTGGTGGATTCAGGGCGAGAGGGCAAGCATCCCAGAGCGGGTGTGGGTGGAGTCACCAGCAAAGGCTGCAGCAAAGGCCCCACCCATTTAAAAGCCTTTAAGCATCTGTGAACTATTGGACCCTAAGGGTAAGACATCACTTGAGTCTTAGAAGTGCTGGTCCCACGGCTCCCTTCACACCTAGTCTCAGCTGGTCCTCACCACACCAGGCATGTTCCTGCCTCAGGACCCTTGTATTTGCCATCCTCGGCCTAGAACACTCTTCCCCAGATGGCCACGTGGCCTCTTTCCTCACTCTCCTCAGGCCTGTGCTCAAAGGACCTTATCAGAGGGGACTTTCCTACAAAGAGCACCTCTCTTTCTCGCTTGCCCACCACTCACTAGCCTCTTAGCACGTGGACTGTGTTTTCCAAAGGTGCTGCAGCAGTCTCTCCTATGCCATGTGTTCTTTCTCCAGCCCCTTGGATCTGCGGTCCCTGTCACTGCTTTACCCAACAGAATATGGTGGAAGTAATGCTGATCCAGCCCCAGGCACAGCCCAACTGCCCTGGCAGCCTCTGCTTCCCGCTTCTTGGAACACTTACTCTTGGAGAGAGCCTTCCAGAGCCAAGCTGCCATACTGAGGAGCCCAGGCCACGTGGTGAGGCCACAAGTAGGTGGCTGGTGAGTGGCCCCGCTCAGCTCCCGGCTGGTGGTCAGCATGCACGGCAGCCAAAGGAGTGAGCCACCTCAGGTGTCCATCCAACCCAGCCGATCTTCCAGACGGCTCGAGGCCTGGCCAGCACCTGCCTGCACCACACGTGAGACCCCAGCAAGAACCACCCAGATGGTCCCAGTCCACTAAAGAACCATGAGAGATAATGTGAGATTGTTTCAGGCCACCGAGTTTTGAGGTGGTTTTTTCTGCAGCAGTTCTCATCTGGAGCATTGACCCTGCTTAGTTAGTTTTCACAGCCCCGTGGCACCACCTGGCATTATATAAGCTACTTGCTTCTTGTCTTTTTCTCCCTCTTGGTTTTGTTTACTACTGTGCTCTTACCACTTGAGAGCTGTGCGTGGCACATAGTAGGCTCTCAATAAATATTCTCTAGATGAATGAATCCAAAGATATTTCCCAGAAAAATCACACAGCAACAGTCGATGTGATTTCATTAGTTCTCAACAAGCCTAACGCTGGGTCGTTCTGAGCAGAGGCTGGGCAGCGGATGCACTTACGTCTAGTCACTCAGCAGCCACGCGCTGAGTGCTGGGCCCTAGAGAGAAACCCATGAGCTAAAGCAAAAATCCCTGCCCCCATTCTAGGCCGGGGAGACAGGCAATAAAACAAATAAGAAAAGGATACTGTGTGTTAGAAGCGGGTAAGTGGCAAAGGAGAAAAATAAAGCACAGAAGAGAGAGAGCTGGGGTCTGGTGGGAAGGTTAAGTAAGGCGGCCAGGTGCGCGGGTTTGCTAGGGCTGCTGCAGCAAAGCCCACACTCTGGGTGGCTTGGACAACAGAAATATATTGTCTCACAGTCCTGGAGGCTCGAACTCAAATAAGAGAGAGAGACTCTCTGCAAGTGTTATGGATTTTAGAACAATGTAATATGGTTTTAATTTAATAAAACAAAAGCTCAAAACGAGATGGTAAAGTAATAGAATGAGATGAAAAGGGAGGTTGCAGAGCTAATGAAATAAACTTAAAACCAAAATACTATGATTACAGATATGAGAAATAAATGAGAAAAGAAAATAACAAAATAATCATGGCTAAAAATCAAATTAGCCTCACAGAGGAGAGACTTAAGGTAAGATGTAGAGAGAAAAGACACAGAGATTGAGGCAACTAGACAGAAGGTCACAGAAAGACAGAGAAGTCAAAGATGTTCTAACTTAAGGACAATTGATGTCCCTGGTGTACAGATCTCAACAAAAGGAACTTCAGATTATTCAGAGATAGAATACAGGAAAATTTCCCTGACTCAAATGAAAAATTCAATCTGAAGATTGAAAAGATTGTGTATATGCCAGGAAAATGTTGTTTTAGTATAACCAACATTGACATATCCCATTTAAGATTTGGAGCTTCAAGATTTAAAGGGAAAAAAGTTGCTCAGACATTCTGGTAGAAGGAAAAGATAAAAACAGATCACTTTTAAAGGAGGGAAGAAATCAAGCTGGTATCAGACCCCTTAACAGCTAATTCAATGCCAGAGGACAGAGTTGATCTAAAAAGATCTGAGGGGAAAAGGTATGACCTAAGAATATTACATCCAGTCAAACCAACATAGAAGCAACAGGCAGACACTCTCAAATACGAAATAATTCTGAGACTATGGTCACCATGAGCCTGTCTTTTAAAGAGAAAAAAAATATTGGCAATGAAACCTAGCCAGGAAACAAGCCAAAATAAAGAGTTCTAGAATGCGGACATCACATAGAGTGATAGATGGTAGGCATTCAATCCACTTAAGGAGAGAAACAGGACTAAAGGGAAGATAGGATAAACAAACACTGGGAGTGAGGAGAGGGGAGAAGGAAGGCGTGAAACAGTAGTACTCACGTCATCTCTTACAGTTTGGAGTAAATCAATTCTATCTGAAACTGAAATCTGATTTCAAAAACTATAGTAAATTCAACCTCTAATGGTTATCATCATTTACAATTTTTCTTTTTTTAAACTTGGAAGACTATTTTAGAAATTAACATCTCTTAACTCAGATATAAAATATAAAGTTGCCTTATTAGCACATCTCACTTAGATGGTAAGGGAATGAAAAAGGGGGAAAAAAGAAAGAAAAAAAATTGTATATACAAATACATTCACACTAAAGTAAGAAGAAATACTTATAACTACCACGGTCCTCATTTGTGTAACCTGTCACACGATGTAGCTGGTACTTATATAACTGTTTTCTTAAATTCCACATCCCCTTTTCCCTCAGCAAGCATCTCAGCTGGTTCTTGCCCGACGGGGTGACCCAAACCTTCATTTCTGAAGTATTTGTGACATTACTAATCCTGCCTGAATTGCACTATAATTTTCCACTAACTTTTATCACAGGATATGGTAGTTCTAAGAGGCGCCCCTGGGATCTCCTCCATTGCAGACACACTCTCCTCACCCACACTGTGAAGTAGCCAGTCCACAATTCTATCAAGCCAGCTCTTTCTGGGTAATGCGGACTATGCTAAGGCCAGTGAGTTCCATGAGTACAAGCCAATTGTCTCACTTCATTTGCAGTGAAATGAGTTTCTGGTCAGACCTGATGCTGTGTGGAATACCTTGACGGCGGCTAAGGCACTCTGGAAGTCCACAGATGGTAGTTTTGGCAAAAGTAGTGTGGGCAGGAAGGGCGGAGTCATAATGAGAATAAGTGTTCTCATAAGAACAATACTCTGCCCCCTCCTTGGTGGAAGGGGCCCAGTGTTATGGATCTGTCACCGGGTAACTGACCACACTGGGGAATAGTGCTGTATCAGGGTGTCGGCCTCTGGTGCTGGCAGACTGGGCACTCGGCCATGGCTACAGCCAGATCAGCCTTGGTGAGTGGAAGTCCATGTTGCTGACCTATGCATAGCCTTCGCCACTGACACTGGACAATGGCTGGAGTGGCTGGGGAAGCAGGCTGACTGACAACCATGGAATGACTCATTCTATCTACCTGATTATTAAAGTCTTCCTGTGCTGAGATCACACCCTATTTCCATTCAGAGAAATCTATTTGTCCACATGTTCCCCAGATCGCCTTGCCACGAATTTCCCAGTCACGGTTCTTCTAAGTCCCTGACCATCCAGCCAAACAACCATTAGCCACAGCCCATGAACGGACGTAAACCCACACTTCTAGCCATCTCTCCTTCCAGGCAGGACAGATGACCTGGTGAACTGCTCAAGTTCTGCCTGCTGGAATGATTTCCCTCCGTCACTGTCCTCCAGGATCTTCCCACAGTGGGACGTAATGCTGCATCCGGCCATCCCGCGTGGGTAGGGTCATCAGTCAGGATGCTCTTGCCTGCAAGGAACACAGCATCCGACTCAGAGTGGCTTATCCAATAAGGGGCACATTGGCATAAAATGCACTGTTGTAAAACTCTTTTGAAGAATAAGTAAAACCTTCCCCGAGGCAGAGCCCCTTCCCTGAGCACGTACCACTTGGAGAGCAAATTCAAAAACATAACTGGGCCTCGGAAAGAAAGAAGGTAGGAGGGCCGTGAATGGATATGAACCGCGAACAGTGTCTGGTCCAGAAATGAGTTCAGCAAATGTTAGCCCCTGTTCTTTCTGGCTGGTTTGTTGTTGTTTTTCTTTATAATTGTCTATAAGGTTTGGCACTTTTGTTTTATTATGGTTAAAAAAAAAACACATAACATAAAATTACCACCTTAGCAACTGTACAGTTCAGTAGTGTCTATGCACATTGTTGTACAGCAACTCCCTTCTCCCCGCTCCGCTGGCAACCACCTTTCTGCTTTCTGCTTCTGACAGTTTGACTACTTTGGATGCCTCATCTAAGTGGAATGACGTGGCATTTGTCTTTTTGTGGCTGACTTACTTCGCTTAGTTTAGCACCATGTCCTTAAGGTTCATCCATGTTGTAGCAAATGACAGGATTTCCTTCCTTTTCAAGGCTGAAACTATTCCTGTGTGTATGTGTGACTGAGAATCACATTTCTTTATCCATTCATGCATCAATGGACATTTAGGTTGCTTCCACCTCTTGGCTATCATGAACAATGCTGCAGTAAACTTGGGTGTGCAAATGCCTCTTTGAGACTGTGTTTTCAATTATTTTGGATATCTGCCCAATAGTGGTATTTCTGGATCATATGGTAATCCTATTTTCAATGTTTTTGAGTCAACTCTATACTGTTTTCCATGGTAGCTCCACCATTTTACATTCCTACTAACAGTGCACCAGGTTTCCAATTTCTCTGCATCCTCACCAGCCCTTGAGGGTTTTTTGTTTGGTTGGTCAGCTTCTTTGTTTCGATTGTGGCCATCCTAATGGTTGTGAGGTGACATCCCATTGTGGTTCGAATTCCCCTGATGATTAATGATGTTGAGCATCTTTTCATGTGCTTGTTGGCAATTTGCATATCTTCTTTGGAGAAATGCCTATTCAAGCCCTTTGCCTATCTGTTAATCAGGTTATGTGGGTTTTTTGGTGGTGAGTTATAGGAGCTCTCTATATATTCTGGATATTAATTAATCCCTAATCAGATATATGGTTTGCAAATATTTCCTCCCATTCTATGGGCTGCCTTTTCACTCTGTTGATTATTTCCTTTGGACTTGAACTTTTTATAATTGAATATATCATCTCAAGGGAAGACTAAGGAACTATCTCAGATCAAAGGGGACTGAGGAGACATAAAACTAAATACAAAGTTCTATCCTGACTGGTTTCTTGAAGAGGAAGAAGACATTAGTGAAAAAAAGCTGGTGAAATCCTAATAAAATCTGTAGCTGAGTTAACAGTATTGGATCAATGTTAACCTTTCAGTCTTGACAAACCCACCGTGGTTACATAGACGTTAACATTAGGAGAAGCTGGGTGAACGGTACAGAAGAACTCTGTCCTATCTTTGCAAATTTTCTGTATATCTAAAATTACCCCCTCTCAAAATATGTATATATTTATATAAACTAATAACTCATCATCTAACATAAAATAAAATGGGATAAGCACTTACCCTTAGGGTTGATGAGAGGATTAAGTGAGCTGGTGTCAGTGAAGCATTCACACAGGGCACACAGCTAAAAGGGCAATAAATGCAAGTTATTACAATAATTGTTACTTTCCCTTCAGATTCTCTTCCATCTCTGGATTCTGTGAAGACTGCTACTTGGTGGCGGTGAACATACTTACAGCTTCAGTTTTTGGGGAAATAAAGTTGCAACACAGTTTCACTTGCTGGCTTCCTACTAAATATGACATAGAGCAGTTCTGTTTCCCCAACTCTATTTCCTTATTTTTCAGACCACAAGAAAGATTGCCCAACAACACACAAGTTATCTGAGAATGTGAAAAGCTCTTTGAAAAAAACTTGAGAAGATTCTACCCAACTTCTTCGTCTTTTTCAGGCATTATTCCTCTACCCCACCCCCCTTTTCTTTTTCTTTTCTTTTTCTTCCTTTCTTCCTCCCTCCCTCCTTCCCTTTCTTTCATTTTCAAACTCTTTAGAGCTGGATGGCAATGTCTTCTTTTCCCCCAAAAAAGTTGTCTAAACCAGCAGTTCCCAGTCTTTTCAATGTCAAGATCAAATTAACTTTTTTAAAAAAGAAGAGGCTGGGGGTAATTTACAGTTGTCAATTCGTTATTTAACTTGTAAGGGAGGTTTTCGTTTTTTAAATCCCTATTACTTTCAACAACATTTCATTAAAGTGCCTTCAAAGGAAAGGGCAGCTTAACACCAAAAAAAAATAAGAGGGGCAGAGTCTCAAAATAAAGAGGCTTCCCAGAAAGTCAGAGCTGCCAGCTTACTCTGCTGTGTCAGAAATTTTTAAATAACAGAATATCCTAAAAAGAGTTAAGAACAAAGAAATCCCAACGTAAAATGTTACCTTAAGATATTACACAGCATTTTCATTTTTTAGATTGTAAACACTGCATGAAAGGAAAAGAGTGCGTAAAATATGCATATATGATACAGTTTAAAGAACGATAATAAAATACACAGCCGTGTTCCTACCACCTAGTATAAAACAGAACATATTCCTAGTACTCAAAAGGCCCCTTCTTCCTCTTCTGCTCCCAGAGAAATGCCATCTCCTGTAGTATTTAGTGATCATTTCCTGTCTTTTCTTTATATTTTACCTAGAGACCCATGTCTCTACCCCTGAACAAGGCATTGATAAGTTTTGCCTGGTTTTACCACTTCTGTGGAAGGAATCATACAGCGTGTGACTTGCTTTTTTCCATGCAAAACAGTGGTTTCTCTTGCTACAAATTTGGTGTCTGGGGGTCTCTATCATGCAGGGATCCACAGAGGAGCTGGGCTGTCTGGTTCACTCCTGCAACAGTCACGGCTGACAGTCCACTTACGCCTGTGCACGCGGACAGAGAGAGAGTGAGGCTCCCAGCGTCCTCACTGTGTTCTTTGGGGTAACAGACTCTGGGGCTGCAGTGGCTTCTATGGGGCAGACAGGCCAGGGGCCCTGATGTGGGCTTCAGGGGCAGGTCACCAGCTGGTCACTTCACTGGAGAGGCACAACTTTAGGCTCTGATCACCACCCAGCAGTCAGAAAATCATCTGCAAAGTTTCTGGGAGCAGGCAGATTTCACAGACCCAGACAAAAGCATGAGCAGGTCTTGGGAACCACATGCTGGCTGTTCATAACCTACTAGTTTAACACCCTGCACACCGTTTCCTTCACCACAGGTAAGGCTAGGCCCAGGAAACGTCCCTTAGACCCCTGAATCTCTCTAAGATCCCAAGATACCTGTCTCTAGTAATACAGTACCTCACGCCCCACCCAAGACCAAAAGAATCAGAATTTTGCATCTTAGCAAGATTCCCAGGTGACTGATATGCATGTTCAGCTTTGAGAAGTACTGGCCTAGATCCTTCACTGTGTGTGCGGTTTTTAAATTAATATTTTTACTGAAGTGCAACACTGATAGAGAAAAGTGCTAAGTCACAGCGGTATCGTTTGATGAATTATCACAAAGTCAATCCACAGGTGTACCCAGCACCCAGTTAAGAACCATCACCGGCACCCTCAAAGCCCCCTCCCCCACGTGCCCTCCATAGTGAACCCCTGCTCACTAAAGGGCACCCAAACTCCAGCTTCTAGCAGCACAGGTTAATTTGGTCCATATGTGTTCATTCAAGTGGAATCATCTTGTATGTGTTCTTTGGTGTCTGGCTTCTTTTGTTCATTACGTTGTGAGATTCTAAATCCTTCACTAGGAACCCCAACTTTCCGCTGTGTACTTACACACTGGGTCCTGATCTCTCTCCAGTTTCCTCCATCTCTCATCTCCAGAAAACTGTCATATTGTTAAATAAAGCCCTTTATTCAAATAAATATTTATTGAGCATCTAGACTGTGCCAGAAATTGTGTTAGAGGCTGAATCCAGAGGCGTGTTGCAAACTGAAACCTGTTTCCAGGAGGCATCTTGCCTAAGTAGTTTTCGGGGATGTGGCAGATTCACACTGGTATGTGAATTCAGACTTTGAAAGGAATTTATTACCGGCCCTAAAAAACATCCTCAGCTTCAGTTTAGCACACAGCTACCGAGCAGCAGCGGGGCTTCTCACGTCTTTTGAACGCATCATAAAACCGAGGTCCCACTCATTTCTGGCTCGATTATTTCTACTTTTTGTCAGAATGTGATTTGGCTAAATATTGGGATTCTCCCAGCTAAAAGCTCTAACTCTTTCAAAAATGTCTTGGTGCTTGTGTTTCTCGAGGCCTTCAGAAGGAAATTATGCGTAGATACTCACCCCGGGCTTCCCCGAGGACATCTGCGGTACTTACATCCTCTTGTCGACTTGGTTCACCGTAAGCATCACTATGGGATCTACGGCCAGTCACTTCTATCTGGTCCTCAGTTTCCTCATTTACAAAAAGAAGGAAGTGCATGACATCAGAGGGTTTAACCTGAACCCCACAGAATCGCTAGGGAATCCCTTCATCCCTGGAAAGTACATGCGTGGTTGTGGATGTCCGTTTTTTGGAAGAGAGCCCAGAGTTCAACAAACGCCACCCCCAAAAAAGTGAAACACCATCACATCAGGTGACCCCCAAGAACCACTTTAGCACTTAATATCCTGCAATCATGGGGCTCCTTGTGTCAACAGAAGGGCTTGAGTTTTGCTTCGTGTCTGGCTCCTGCTGTATCTTGAAAAGAAAAGATGGCCTTGCTTTTTCTCTTCTGTAGATTTTTCTGCCTTAATAGAAAGGATACTGTAAAATTGCAGGGCCACACAATAGCGTCTCTCTCTGATCTCTACGGGTGCGATAACATCAAGGATCAGTTCTTTTAAAATAGCCTGGCCTTAAATCGAGTCCCTTTTTTTAATATGACCTCAATCTGGGTTCTTTCGTGTGGAGCTGGCTTGTTTCCTAAACACTGTATCTGTTGTAACCCTCATCATTGGCGGGCCTGGCTCTCATCACCAAATAGATGTGAACATGCCCATCCATTCTGAACAGTTCAACAACCCCATTTTCTCCCCCTGGTGAAAGGGCTCTGCGGCGGCCCCGCGTGGAGAAACGCACCCAGGTTTGCCTAACCAGACCCGGGCGAGCCTGTCACCTGAGCACGGGGGTGAAACAGAACCCTTCCCACCTCTCTCCGGCCAGAGCTCGCAATTCCACACACAATAATATAAGATGACACATTCCCTCTGTGTGGCTGGTTCCCCTGGCAGTGCCCTGGCAACAATTTGAGCCCAGAGTTTTCATTACAAACTGCCTTGGTCAGGATCTGGAACCGTCTTGTATTCCTTACAGGGAACAAGACATGCTAGCCTTGTAAACAGTGTTCCTCATAATTGTACGCATTTCACTGGATGAAAGAGGCGATTTCAGGACTCTTCTGCCCTCTGCAAAAGTCCTTCTCTGCTCTTGGTTATCTAAAGAAGTAGAGCCCCACCTTCAACCCTTGCTCCCGAAGTGTGGGCCTCAGACGGAAGGGCAGCGTCAGCCTCACCTGGGAGCTTGTGGGAAATGCAGACTTCTCCACCCCACCCCAGGCCTCCTGGACCAGACTTGCATTTTAACCAGCTCTCTAGATGATTCCTAATCACAGGCATATAAAAACCTGAGAAGCACTCCGGAGGAATCACCCCAAACCTCACTAGCAGCCGACACCTCACTTACACGATGCCTATGACCTTACCGCAAATAATTAATGATCAGTAAACGTGAGCCTTCTTCCTTCTCCCCCTGAAAAGCCAGAGGACCACCAGGGTGCATTAAGGAAGGGAGAGGAGGAAGAAGCAGCCCAGAAGAGAAGAAACTGGGAGAGAGAAGAAAGAAAAAGAGGAAAAGCAAAGAGGGAAGGGGCGAGGTGGGGGACGGCAGGCAGAGTGAGGCCTATGTGTCTCTGTCTGTCTGTCTGTCTGTCTGTCTGTCTCTCTCTCTCTCTCTCTCTCTCTCTCGGCACTCCCTGCACGGGGGCTCTGCACCTGCAGCCTATGGATCCCACCTTCACACTTCTCTCCAGTCACGTGCTGCCTCCTAGGTGTACCTATTTAATAGTTTAAAAAATTGGCTCACTTTTCAACTCTGATTACTTTTGAGAAGATTTTTTGTGCTGATTATATTTTTTTCTAATACACATTAAAATAGGTTCATGGCTACTAACATCTTGTTAAATGTTATTTGTAAGCCCACCAGATGATCTCTGGTGATGTGGGGGCTACCCCTGGGACACCTGCCCCAGGGGAATGACTGTCCCAGTGGTACAGGAGGACCCTGAGAGCTGACACAATATGGAAGGGGTTGGGTCCACATTCTCACGTTTGTAAACTGTACTGTGGGACATGAGGTATGGAATAATAGCTCTTTTTCAGGCTAATGCAGCCAATCAGACTTGCAGGGCCACTTATCTAGAACCTGCTAAATTCTTTTTTTTTCCTTTTTTTTATTTATTTATTTTTAAACATTTTTTATTGCTTTATAATCATTTTACAATATTGTGTCAAATTCCAGTGCAGAGCACAATTTTTCAGTTACACATGAACATATATATATTCATTGTCACATTTTTTTCTCTGTGACCTAC